TATTGTTTGACTGCTGAGGAAATAGCAACTGTTAAAAGAAATGTTGCTGGATTAATTAAATTTACATATTTTAAAACTGCTTTAATTCCAAAATTTAAGTCTAAGGACAGGTTACTGGGGAAGAGAATTTCTATTTTTGTTTACACAGAAAATGAGAAGCTGTGGATTACTTCCAGACTAACATGGTTTGATCAAGCAAGACTCCCTGAAGCAATATCCCAGGTGATCCAACATTCAAAACAGCTTGGACAAGGCAGCCTTACAGACCACTACAACTAGGATTTCTACATCTTCTTAGGATCCCCGAGAGAGCACCCCTTACCAGCAGAAAGCAGTTTGGAAAGAACGGAGTGCAAATTCCCAATTATTGTCTATAAATACTTGTTTTAATTTAAATGGGGTTGGTTATAAATGGTTAATGACCACAACGAATCTCAAAGGTAAAAGGGGGATTATGGAATAGATATAAATACTTTGTTTTGGAATGGATTTTCATTTATTGATACATTTTAAGGTCAATTTTGTGATATGTATATTTCTCCTCTTGTTTAGGTATTGTGTTTATATAGCTCATTTAAAAATGTAATGTATAATTTAGTACAGATTACAGACAGTTACCTATGGTACTCAAAACTTAAGTTAGGTTTTCTGGATATCTAGAGACATATTTGAGATTGATAAATATTCTTCAAACTTTTCAAAGACCTACAGAATATCACATTTAAAATGGTTTAGTGGTTTCTTCCTCCTCCTCCTCCTCCTTCTTTTTTTTTTTTTTTTTTAAATCAGTGAGGCACAACTGCTCCTGGAAAAACCACCTGCCTCAGAAAGGAAGAAGGACATGGAAGAAACTCATTATGGAGTTTTCTTCCGATATGGCAAGACTAGCCATTTGGACAAAATACTGCCCTTGTTTGAACTATTTGACTTAATACTGTATAAAGTGGACATGCAGGACCCACAGGAAAGATACAAGATGGACATTACTACAGGGTTCCTGCTTCATGGAAGAGTCTGTAAAATGTAGCCTGCCAGTAAAAGACCTTACAAGAATAGCTTGCTTGCCCAAACAGTTAATCTATAACAAGTTGGTGGGGTATGAACATATGTGACTTCTGTAGAATATAAAATGTTTAATCATGTAAGGGATATGGAAACCATGCCCCCCCATTTGTACTCATTATAATCATCCACTTGAAAAACAGAATGTAACCACATTTTAATTCCTATAGCCTGAAAAACTCAGTTGGGATATATAAGCTTTAGAAAAAAAGTATACAGAAGAAAGAAAGAAAAAACATAGAACATATGAGAACAGAGAATCCAGAAGGAAGCCATCAAGAGAGTGCATGCTATTTCCCTAAACCTCCCTCAGAAAAGTCTAGCTTACACTGACTCTGTGGATTCCTTTCAAAGCCCTATGTTGATGGAAGCTGCCCTCCCCCGGACAATAGTAATACTATTTGCTTTGTTTTGGTTAATTTGAAACTAGATCTCACTGTGCAGTTCAGGCTAGTCTTGAACTCGTATTTCCCCATCTCAGCCTCTGGAGAGCTCCACACCCAGCTCTCTTCAACAGTATACCTCAATTAGCCAAAGCTGGGACAAGAAGGAAGTCAGTGAGGTATCTCCTTAGACTGCATTTGTTTTTAAGTCTATTAGTATTTAAATAATTTACATACCATCTACTTTACTTGTCCCCTTTACACATACAAACAGAAATGCCTAAAAGAGATGGATCAAAGAACAACAAACTCAGTAATTCTCAAATTATACAGACATTGAATCACTGATGTATTTATATATAACCTTTCTTAGCTGAGTCATGAGTTATATAATAAAGACTATAAACATTAACATTAAAAACATCAACCCTGGAAACTTCATAAGTACTTACAGAAAGTTATTTGATAGTCACCATTTCTCTCTAACAAAATTTTAATATATAATTTATAGTAAAGTTCTAAATGCAAGGGATGGAATGTGTATCATTTTCTGACCATTTATATATAGAGTCCAGGAAATTCTGGAGAAATTGGAGGTTACCAAACTCACACTCACACTCCCCCTTTAACCATAGTGGAGCCATATATTAAAAAACATATTATTTTTCATAAAATGCTCCACTTAGATATGTCTTCCCCGCTAGAGATGATTATTGATATGGACCGCATTTAGAAATTCCCATCATATATAAATAATCTAGTGAGAAGAAACACTGCATAGAGATGAGAATACCTTCCATGTAAAATATTAAAATTAACTTCCATGACAGTATAAAAACTGACAGGACATGAAAACCCAAATAACCACAGTTAACCTTTTCTACACTATGAAAACCTTTCTTCAAGTGAAATGTCAGTACATAACAAAAATAAAAGCAGAACTACCATGTTCAAAAGCTAAGAATGGGGCTGCTCCTTCCTTCTCCTATGTCTTCCTGTTCCTGCTTCTCTAGTCCCATACATCCCTCCCTATCCCCAGAGCAGTCATACAAGTGAAGCCAAATAGTAATAAAAGTCACTTTACCTGGACTTGAAAGTGATATATATTTTTAGAAATTCACACGATAAATTTCACATTTAAAAATAAAGTGAATGTAACCAGCTAAAACTAGAACTTACACATGCTACATAATTAGAAATCAGTTGCTTCTTTTCAAAGAATAATGACTTATTATGGTTGAGAAAAGTAGAGAATAAAAGCAGAATATTGTTATACTTAAAACAGTTACCACTTAAAAGGGAAAAAATTAACTCACTATCCAAATGTCATTCAAAAACACTGCACAAATCAATGGTCTATTCAAACAGAGACTAACTTCCCCCAACTCCCACCCCTGAGACAGGGTTTCTCTGTGTTGTTCATGCTGTCCTGGAACTTTCTCAGTAGAACAGGCTACGCTTTAATTCACAGAACTCTACCTGCTTCTGCCTCCCAAAAGCTGTAATTAAAGGTGTGGATCACCACCACCTGGCTCGTGACTTCAGACATTTGCTTTTACCTGAAAACCAGATCAACAAGTGTTCTACAACAAGAAAAGCAGGCCACCTAGAGCAGGGTGATAAACACTCACTGGAAAGCTCCTGATTTCTTTACTTCTATTATAAAGTACTTATTGAGGTTACACCCTCTGTCCCAGTGCTCAACCAGCTTACCTGAACAAGGAGGAGCTAATGGGCCCCCACACTGATAGCTGGGAATCCAGCATGGGACTGACTCAGGCCCCGTGAACACATATCTCAGCTAGAAGGCCTAAGCAGTCTAAGGGTCCTCATACAGTGGAACCAGGATGTATTCCTGGTGCACAAAAGGACCTTGTGGACACTTCCCCCATGGAGGGATACTCCCTTAACCTAGAGACAGGAGAGACATCCTAGTCCCTACTCCAAAAGACTTGATAGATTTAGATGACCCCTCATGGAGGGTATCACCCTACATGTGGAGTAGGGGGTGGTGAGAGGGGAGGGTGGTCATGATGCATGTGAGGGTGGAAGAGATGGAAAGAGGGAGGAAGGGAGGGGGAACTGGGATAGATATGTAAAATAAAAATAAAATAATAAAAATAGTAATAAAAAGTAAAATAAAAAAATAAAGTACTTATTAGGTTGTACACACATTTTATTTATAATGTTCTCTCCAAATGAAAGCATTCAACAGAGAGTTCACCACCTTTAACAAAATAAGAGACAGTTTAAAAAACAATAATTCCTGGGTGTTTTAGTTGAAACTTCAATTTATTACATGAATATTTAATTACCTGATTTTTTTAACTGAATAATCAGTTACTTCAATTTTTCAAAAATTACAACTAAAGTTAGTAACCAATTATAAGTTACATATTTCTTTGCTTGGCACATTTGTGACAAGTGAATAAACAATTAAGACAGCCAATTTTGCAGCTTTTTAAGGATTTGTGCAATCTAGAACAAAAGTATTCTCTAGGAGTTGGCTTAACTGTTACTATGCTATTGGGTGGCAATAGAAAACTGAACACATTCAAATATTTATTGTTTGATTTTATAGTTGTGTATCTAAAATGTATTTCCAATTTTAATTATAAAATGTACTGTCAGCCAGGCATTGATGACTCACGCCTTTAATCCTGGCACTCAGAAGGTAGAGGCAGGTGGATCTCTGTGATTTCGAGGCCAGCCTGGTCTATAGAGCTAGTTATAGGACAGGCTCCAAAGCACTACAGAGAAACCCTGTGTCAAATAAATAAATAAATAAATAAATAAGTAAATAAATAAATAAATAAAATGTGCTGCCATTTTTAGAAATAAAATGGATACATGATGCATATTTCAATATACCTTTTCTACATTAAATGCTTTATACCAGATGCCACTTTTTTATACTTTATATAAAATGTCACATTTTCTGAGGAATATTGCTCATTCAATGTGAAACAAATTCATACCTTGTGATAATTGGCTGTTCACTATGTAACTTAAGAAAGAGACATTAAAACAACAGTTGAACATTAGAACACCAGGATAGAAAAATTATTTCTGAAATATTACATTTTGACATTTTATGTTTGTTTTAACCTTAAAACATATTTGTCAGCATCAAACTACTTTTTCAGTGCCAAAACATTTACTTATACTAGTTTTCCTCACTAAAAAGATTATCCATAATCAGTAAATTTCCTTTCATTTCTACCCTCATTAAAGGAGGAAAGCAAAGCTTTCCAAGTGTAATTGTATTTTCTTTTTTTCGTCAGTATTTTCATTATTGACGACAATATGATACAATAGTTAAACAAAGAAAGCTGAGAAAGCACTTATTTCAAAGACATTTAAACCTTTAATGCTCAATATTCCTATGTTTTCCCTCATTGCTGCAAAAACAATAATCATCATACAAATAAGGCAAATAATGACATAATCATAAGATTATACTTTGAATATACTTCTTGCAAAGACATGATAAAATTACAGTATGCAATAAAACAGAACTATAAATGCCCCCAGAACAAAGGAAGTTTCACTTACATCCACAGCTCTCTTAATAAAAGGGATCTGTGTGCCACTGTCCAGATCTTCATTAATAATAAGCCTTCTAGCCCACTGACCTGCCCTGACAACACCACTACCATGAATTAAAACCATGAGTTTCTGTGGATTTGTCAAAGCATCCTCACTCATAAAGATAAAACTCTTTGGTTCACTTTCAGTGGCATCTACCTGTAATCAAAAAAAATTAAATAATAAATAAAATGTTTCTTGATCAAACAAGCACACAATGAGAAAACAACTAATGACTACTACAAATTATTGAATGTTTATTACAGAATTATTAAGAAGAACCTCAAAATAGAAGAAAGATCTAGCAATCATATATTCAGTGCACAAGCAATATGACAGTAATTTAAATATAAATATACACAAAAAAGAATAATTAAAATATAAATTGTTACATTTTATCATTTATTTAGTATTATATTACCACCTTAAATTGAAATAGATAATTTTAAAAAGCTTCCTTTAGTTCAGATATTATCCAACTTTTTCTCACCCGCATTTACAATCCACTGTAGTAGTCATAATCAATAAATAAAGCAACTGCATCTAGATAAACTTAGGTTACAAGCTTATACTGCATGTTATCTCTAATTCTATAACTGCAGTATATTGCACCTACATAATATAAAATTGAAAATTCAAACTGGAATTTGTAGCTACTTAAATACATTAGCCAAAACACTGTAAACATTCAGATTGCAAACTTGGGTACACAAAACAGTATCCTGTGCATTTTGACAGCTGGTCTATGTATCAGTTATTTATGGATTAGTAATAAACAGATGCTCAGCTAGATTTAAGAGATATTAAGAAAAGCCAGTTACAGAGACAGGAAGTTTTATACTATTCTACATCAGTAATTTCCAGTACTTGGAATGAAAGCCAGACACAACCAGGTTAAAACCAGAACTGAAAACTAGTACTGTGTCCTCCACCCACAACCACACATACAAAGGATTAGTCTATGTGCTGCATACTACACCAGCTCTTCACCCCAGCAACAACATCAGTTCACACAATTACCAAAGTTAGAACAACACACACAAACAACTCCACAAAATGCTCTGGAATTAAATCTAAATTTTCCCTGTCATTCAGAGTGTACAGAAATAGAAACAAAAATAAACCTTCTCTACTTTTCAAACAACACTGGCCTCATCATCTGATTCTGCTACTTGTATAAACAAACAGACACTAGATTAGTAGGAACAGATTGGGTTGAGATTAAGAATAGTCACTACTACTCAGTAAAGCCTTCCATATCTACAATTAATATCTCAAACATTTCACTACAGATTCTCTACTTCCTTTTACTCTTATTCTCCTTCATAGTATATGTGGCAATCAAACACAGTATATTCATTCATAGATAGATAGATAGATAGATAGATAGATAGATAGATAGATAGATAGATACAGATAGATGCATATTCATTCATGCATACAAGTGTGTCCATGTGTGTATATTCATTCATCCTCTGCTCTCTACATTACAATGTAATCTAAGAAGAAGTAACATTTGTAATTTGTATTCAACTACATTCTCTGTCTAGAACAGGACCTAGCATCTTATAGGTACTCAGTAAATAAAGAACAAGTTTTTGAAAAAAGGAATGTTAATATTGGAAGTGATGTCATTTAGATGCAAAGAATTTAAATAAGTCAAAGCATTAATATCTAAAATACACAAAAAATTAAAGAAAATCTAAACATAAAAATCAAATATTAAAATGGGCTACAGATCTGAAATAATAAATTCTCAAATAAGACATTAAAATGGCTAATATTTTTAAATTTGTTTGCATTGAGGATATGCAAATTAAAACCACTGTCGATTCTATCTAATGCCAGTGAAAATGGCTGTTCTTAAGAAAGCAAATTTCAACAAATATCATAAAGGATGTAGTCAAGAACACTCACTGGCAGTTGGAATTCAAACTGGTATAGCCACAAAAAGACTAGAAATTGAACTACCATATGACCAAACTATAATAATAGTCCTTGGCATACAATCCAAAGGATTCTATATCCTACTATAGAGATATCTGCTCAACATGCTTAGTGCTGTCCTATTCACAATAGCTAGGAAATAGAATCAGCCTACATGTCTATCCTTGATAGATGAATAATTAAAATATGGTATGTATACACAATGAAATTTTATTCAGCTGCAAAGAAAAATAAAATTTTTAGGTAAATGAATAAAACTGGAAAAATAAGTGCTGAGTCAGATGACACAGGCACAGAAGGACAAATGCCACATGCCTCTCATATGGAGGCCCTAGCACTGCATCTTTAGATTCATGTGTTTAACGTGGAGCACCTGCAGAAGTAAGAAAACTAAGGGACCACGAAGAAGGGGGACTCCTCAAGGGAGGAGAGGTAGCAGAAATAATAAGAAAAAAAAAAAAAAAAAAAAAAAAAACAGAGAGGGAAAATCCCAGGGGTGGAAATGTTTAAGAGAGATGGGCTGGAAGATGGAAGAGATGATGGGATAGGGAGACAAAGTTAAATAAAGTGAAAGGTATATGGAAACAAGTTTTAATTAGTGCATAAAAGCTTATAGTATTTTTTTAAAGAAGTAGGGGGTGATGCTCTGTGCATGGTCAGATAATGTTGTTCATAAAAACCTGGGGTTAATACACAGTGACAGTTGCAGAATGAAATATTTCCTTATGATTTATTGCTCAGGGAATCCCTTTGAGGCCCTAAGAACAAGACAGGCTTCTGCCATTTATTCCTCTTGATTATCCATAAGAACTAATTAATAATGCCCGATTGCTGAAGACATGGCACAGCACTCATTACAAAATACAGAAAACCAAGGAAGAAATGAACTGGGAGCTTCCTCCTACTGGCTAGGTCTCAGAATCCTGAAAGGCACCACTGTGCAAGCCCCTGGAGAGGAAATAGCATTAACCATTTTAACCAGATATGAGCCCTATGTACTGTGGTGCTAACCTTCTAGGAAAGATGTGCTCACTGGTGCAATAGCCTATGATTGGATCTGAGGTCTCCTCCACAGGAGGAAATTCAAGCCTGGTAATTTATAGATCCAGATGCTGAGAAGGTTTTAAGCCTTACAGTTGTTGTGTAGCTATACTGACATGGCTGTATACTACCTTCTAAATATTTATACCCTCAGACAAACACCGTCAAAGGACAAAAATGCAAATGGGATCAATAGATTAAATTAAAACTCTTTAAATGTTTCTAATGCCCTTCAGAAACTGAATCAAGTGATAATCTTTTTTTTTTTTTTTTTTTCTTTAACGAAGAACAAATTGATACAGGTTATTTGCTTGGTTACTTTGAGGCTTACCATGTAGCCCCAGGAAGCCTGGAACTCAATATGACTGCCAGGCTGTCCTTGAACTCACATAGATCTGCTTGCATCTATATGTCTGCACAAAGAGGGCCAGGTTCCCAGAGCCAGAGCTGGGCTCTATGCAGGACAGCTGCCTGACAGATCCTATCTGGATCCTCAGGGAACACTCCTGCTCCAGCATGCTGAGGTGTGGGCATCTACTCAATTAAGTCCTAGGATTAAATGCAAGTGCCATGATATCCAGCTTCAATGTATAGTTTTTACAGAATAAGACAGTAAGCCTGAAGCCAGGAATTCTGACTTCCCCTAGGACAGCCATACTAAGTGTCAAAAAGATGCTAAAATTTAGGCTTCTGGTTTTTCCTGAAAGAAGCTCTGTTCCAAACTAGAACAAGAGATGGCATGCAATGTTCTTATTATTACAAGTACTGACAGGATCTACAACTTAAGACTTCAATAAGCACTTACTAAGCTGAGGGAATCAATGAATGAAAAATAGTTTTTATTGTAATTATGCAATCAACAGTGAGAATCCAAAGAGTTAAAGATAGATTCACACTCCTGAATTACATGACGCAAGATATTTAAAAAGCTCACAGACGGTATCTATATGCAAAGTTTTATATATTAGGTAAGTCAATTTCATTGTCATCTGAACTTTTAAATCATAAAATAAGAGTTGGCCAGGTGGTGGTGGCATACACCTTTAATCCCAGCACTGGGGAGGCAGAGGCAGGAAGATCTCTGTGAGTTTGAGGCCAGTCTGGTCTACAAGAGCTAGTTCCAGGACAGCTTCCAAAGCCCCAAAGCCACAGAGAAACCCTGTCTCAAAAAAAACCAAAAAAGAAGAATTGTCAGGGATAGCAAAAAGTATCTGATCTATTCCAACCATCATTTTTCATAGATTACTGCTTCTTCATTTTAAAAGCTTAGTTAGCACTCATGATGTAAATTAAAATTACATATACACGTACAATAACAATTCGAAAAAAAAAAAGAGAGAGAGAGCCATAAACTCAAAGGAAAGAAGGCTCTGTGTATATTGGAATGGTTGGAGGGGAGAAGGGGATGAGAGCAATGTTTAGATTATGAACTCATAAAAATGATAGAAGTTCTGTTTGGAATTTGAGTCTAAGAATAAATCCCAATTTTTTTCAAGATAGTGTTTCTTTGTGTAGGCCTGGCTCTCTAGACCAGGCTGGTCTTGAACACACAATATCTACCTGCCTCTGACTCCTGTGTGCTGAGATTAAAGGGGGTGAGCCACCACCACCCAATTTAAAATGTTCAAATTCCAAAAGAAAAAAGTACAAAATGTCCTAGTCTTCTGATAAAGAAGAAACAAGTGGAATTAAAAAAGAAAATATCAGGAGGCAGGTGGTGGTGGTGCACACCTTTAATCCCAGCAGATCTCTGAGTTTGAGGCCAGCCTGGTCTACAATGCTAAACAGAGAAACCCTGACTCAAAAAATCCAAAACAAAAGGAAGCAAACAAAAAGCCAGGAATGACTTTGGGAATGTAGAGAAAACCAAGTATTTTGTATAGAAATAAGGAGTGAAGAGATGGCTCAGTGGTTAAGAGCAGTTCTGGCTGCTGCTCCAGATGGCCAGGTTCAATCCCTACACACAGTCACAGCCTTGTTTAGCTCCAGGCCCAGGGGATCTGACGCCCTCTTCTGGCCTATGTGGGCACCAGGCATGCAGGTGGTACATAAACATATATGTAGCCAAGATACTCATTAAAATATAAAATTAAATATGAAATTAAGTGAAAAACAGTTTCACAGAATCAAAAGATACTTAGTCAATAAATGCCTATTAGAATGTGATGCACACTGATTTATACAAAGCAAATAGAAACATTCCAGTGAATTCAGAGAAGGTAAAAGATAAGCCTCTCTGCCACTATGTTAAGAACAGAGCAGAAATCCTTGTTCATCATTTACACTGAGAGCATTAATCACTGTTAACAACTAGTGCTGATGAACATAGTCACCTACAAACAGTGAGGTGCCAGCATCCACACCGCAGCACCTTCAACCCACAAGAAAAAATTTCCCCTGAACTAAAAGCCATTTTACATGGACAAAAGCAGTTCATTTGAAATAAACAGTTTTGAAAATTGGACTTACTGGAATAAAGATTTTTTTCAAGTGGCAGTCCTTTTCCAGGAGCTCATAAACATATTTTGTGATGATCTAAGGAAAAAAGAAATAAAATGTTAATATCCAATATCATCCATTATCAAGATAGATTTGTTTTGATAAATTCTTGAAAGTTATTCCAAGTAATTATTTCTTGAATTTCTCCTTCCAATGTTTTAGCATCATGCAAACTCTTCCTAGCCAGTGTAATGTTACCTTCTGCTGTTGTGTGGATGGCTACTAAGGGTTAGAATGAGTTTTACATTCACAGAAGACTTTGTTAGAAATGAATATTGTGAAGCTTTTAGGTGTTTTTTAGAAAATGTTCCTCCTACAATTTCTCCATAAATATTATATCTCATGTAATTTCTCAAGGTATTGGAATCTCCACACCCATTTTAGCAAGAAAGAAAAGTGTGTGACAAGTATTACAAGCAGAAAAGGAAAACCAATCCAGCCAAGACAAGTGCAGTCAATACAATGTTTGTGAGAATCAAAAAACATGGTCTCCTAAAGATGTCTACAACCCAACTCCTCAACATTTGTATAGACCTGCACATACAATTGGTAAGGACCTTTGGGAAAAGATTTACTGGGATTAACAAGGTGGGTCAAATCAAATCATTTATATTCTTAAAATTAGAAAGCTATAGAAGTATGATGTGTTGCAGAGATGCCAGGTAGGAAGGACTCAGCAGCTTCGCTGGGTTTGAAAGTTAAGAAGAGCACAGGCCAAGAGCTATGTCCTCTGGGGACCTGTAGTTGGCAGCCAACACAAACATGAGAGTTCAGTGTGATCTATGCAAGGGGCTAAATGGGGCCAATAACACAAAAGCAAGTCAACGATTCTTTCTAGCCTAAAACTGATTCTCCTGCCTTCTACAGGACTTCTGATCCACAGAACTATGTGACAATAAATCTGAATAGCTTCTAGCCACAAAACAAATGGTAGTTTGTTAGAGAAGCAATATGAGAACTATGAGTTATTCATAGGCAATAAGCAAGGATAGATAGGCCTGGAATAGGAGCAAATATTTACTAGGCACTTTGAATGGTCATCTAAAAGTGTTTCTCCTCCCAAAGAGATCTGTAAAATATCTCACCTATGTCAATTTTTGTGAAACAAAATGAGTTGGTTTTTTTTATATATAATAATGGATTTCTTTGGTGTCATATCAAGTAATCTAAAAATAGATTCTTTAGCTTGCTTTCCTTAAGGAGCTTAAAACTCTTATGTACAAACACTCGTTTTGTTTCAGAAGTAGTTTCATAGATGTGAAAAATGACTGGTAATAGTCATTTCAAAACCAATAACACATTAAATTATCTAGTTACTAGTCTAATAATACCTTTATACTTTTATATGGTAGCTAATGCTATGTTCCCTATAATTTCACTGGAAGACAGAGACAATATAGTCTCTAAAGGATACTAAAAACATGTAAGTACAGATTTATGAAGCAACATTAACAGTGGCCTATCACTTCAGGAGAAATGACTTAAATGAGATTATCTAAAATGACTAGTTTGACACTCTTGAAAATTTTAATAAAGAGACAATAAAATAAATTAAATCTGTATGCAAGTATTTGAGACATAATTTGAGAAGAAAGTTAAGTTTTTGACAAATTAAACCTTATATTGATATAAATGATAGAACCAGAAATGATTCCTTATTTTCATATTATAATTCAAATACTCTAAATTTGCTTATATTTGGGTTATAGGACAAATGTCTGCTCTGGAACTTAACTATATCAAACCACATAATAAAATAATTTATACACTAAGAGAAATACTATCTGTGATGGAGATTTTTAGTTGTCAGTTTGACTCCATGTAAAATCAACTAAAACCCAAGCTGCTAGAAACCCCTGTGAGGGATTTTCTCCATCAGATGAACAGGAAGGCATTTGTTTGTTTGTTTGTTCAAGACAAGGTTTCTCTGTATTGCTTTGGAGCCTATGCTAGAACTCGATCTGTAGACCAGGCTGGCCTAAAATTCACAGAGATCCACCTGCCTCTGCCTAACGAGTGGTAGGATTAAAGGCATGCACCACCAACACCCAGCTAGGAAGGCCCATCTTAAACAGAGGCCATACTCTATGACAGCCCACATAAAAGGATGTGGAAGAGGGAAACTGCTCTGTGTCTGCTTCCCCTCACTATTGCTATCACAATTGTCGAACCCGTTGCTGCAGTCAATATTAAATGCTCCTTCTTCAAGACTACAATGTAGACTAAAGACCACCAGCATCTGATTGAGACTGCCAAGACATCCATCATAGAGAACTGAACACCTACCAGATTCTCTGATGTTCCACTGTTGTGAGATAGCTATTGTTGAACTACCGAAACCATCTCCTATAAGCCAGTCCAATAAGTCCTACTTTAATGTACACATTCATTCTGTCAGTTCTAACCGTCTACAAAACCCTAATACACTACCTAACTTGATTGTCCCCTTTCCTTTGCTAGCTACTTCCTGCCTACAGAAGAAAGAACAGGAAGAACAGATTGAAACCATCTATGTCTAAGGCAGTTCTTTCGGTTGAGAGTATTGTCCTCTACCCTAGTTGCCTTTCCAAGAGACAGACCAGATGGGAACTACTGAAGGACACAGTTTCTCAGCACAATACCCCCTGGACATGATGGAGTACAATTACTTAGCATACTAGTTTGATATCATTCCTATCTGTTAATATTAGTCAGTTCTGGACACTGCGATGAGGTTTAGACCTCCTTCGAATATTAAGGATATCTTAAGATGGGAAAGGAGTTTTCCTGTCCCCATTCTCTCTACATTTTAGGGCAGAGAGAAACACTGCCAGCTTGAAAACATCTTTTCCAGTTGCTGAATCAGGATTTGGAAGGAAGCATTCAGGATGCACTCCTTGTCTTCCAGACAAGTCTGCAGCTTAAAAAAAAGAAATTAACTAGTTTTTAAAAAAGATGAAGTACTGTCAGAATGTCATCAGTGTTCAAATATTACCTTGAAACTGTAATTAACGGTGGGCAAAAAGCATTAAGAGATTAAACAGATCCTAAAATTGTATTTTTCCAATAAGAAATGGTAGGATATCTAGTTTCCAGCTAGTACATAAAGAACCAAATTAGTTACATGGGACCTTGAAAAAAAAAAAAAAAACAATACTGAACAAACTAAAAGCCACCAATTTTCTTGGCTCCAATAGAGATTGTGAACATAGGACACAGCTTGCCAGAGATCTAGACAGAAGGACAGGTAGCTGAGAGCAAAAGCTCAGATGAAGCCTTGCACTGTGGCAATTGTGGGGCACAAACACCACTGAAACTCTAATGGGCTCATTTCTAGAGCCTCTGTCTGAAGTTAAAAGCTAAGAATGGGCTCATTTGGCCTAACTGTGGGGATGGCAAACATGGGTTACTTCCAGAAACCCTACGGGCCTACACCATGTACCTAGATGTATGTCTTCATTGATTCTCCAAGGGGAGGGAAATAACAAGTTTTAAGTATTCTTATTAAGACATAATTTCAAAGAAAACCATTTTAGCAGAGCTGCACTGAGAATACAGTAAAGATGTGCCTGACTCACATCCCTTAAAGGACACAAAGACAACCTGGGAGATAAAGACACCAAAGCTTCACCTCAGACAACCCAGTGGCAGTCAACAGCAGTGCTGTAACAATTTGTACTGACAGTGAGCTTGATCAGATTTAGAGTCACCTAGGAACCAGATCTCTGGAAGTGTCAGGGAGGGAGTGTCGAGGAAGTTTTAACTGACACTAGAATGCCAGGGATATGCTGAACACAGGTGGCACATGCCATAGGCTAATGACACAGATTGAATAAAAGCGGAACATGAGCTGCGTGCCAGCTTCCACCTTCCTGTGCTCCCTCATTAAAGACACCATGTGACCTGTCTCACACTGCTCTTACCACCACTACAGCTTCTCAGTGTCTGTGCACACCTTTGCTGAGATGCCTTCAAACTGCTAGCCAAAGGAACCCTTCCCTTTCTTATTTTTGTAAGGTTTTTGTCAGAGCACTTTAAAAAAGAAATAATATAACTGCCTACCTCCTAGGTAGATAAATGCAAACTCTCATTATTAACCTGTCCACCTCGATACATAACATTGGACTTTTATCAACAAAATTTCCAGGCACAGTAAAAGCCAATAACCACGGCAACAGAAAAAGAAGAAAACAGACACAAACTATCCAGTCTGAAGAAGTACTAGGATGAGAACTGACTCATTCTTGACACTGATGCTAGAATTATCATGCTGAGAGTTAAAAACAACTATAAGCAATACACTAATAGTTGTCGAGGAAAAGTGGACAACACGCTAGAAGACATGGGTAGTGTAAGAAAAGACACATGAATAAGGAAATGTAGAACAGTGTCTATAAATGAAACTAATGTCTTTAATGAGCTCTTAGCAAATTGATTACAACCAAACAATCTTAAAGATTTGTCAATGGAAACTTTTTAATTTTAAATACGGGGGGGGGGAGGGGGATATCACATAATTGTGGGACAAAAGCAAAAGGAGAAACATTTGCAAAATGATAATGTAAGAAGCAACAAATAAACCACCTGAAGGAATAATGAATAACACTTCAAAAAATTTATGACAGGAAGGATGGATCCACAGAGTTCAGAGAACAGAAGACAAACTGTTATTTAAAAAAACACAATCAAACAAACAAACAAATAAAAAAGCTCTATATAGTCTTTGCATAGTGTACACAAACCCAAAACAGAATTCTAAAAGGTGTCTAGAGGTGTGTGAGGACTTTTAACTACAAAGGCCACGTAAGAAATAGGAACAAGGTGGGACACACACAACACTTAAAAAGATGAAATCGTCCATGAAAAACCCTGAACCCTGTAGAAGTACCCTGAAAAGTGAAAGAGACGTTCTAATACAAATACAGAGGGGAAAACAACAAGGCCGGACATTTGCATCTAAGTAAACTATTACTTGAGAAGCAGCAGATGAATGTAAAACAAAATATTTTGTATTTCTTATTCTGATCAGATCAAACAGGTAGGAGCTTGGCAACAAT